GTGCATGTGGCCCTGGTATAATGTTTGGCATAGTCCTGATTTTGTAGGTATTTTTTTAAACACGCTCTGGAACACGAGTACCTTCAAGCGTATGAGACATTATAATCCTTGGTGCAGCAAATTCCATTCTGTGGAGCATATTTATTGGCAACATCTGTTTAGGAGCGCATCGCATAGAGGGGGCATTAAAAAACAGTGTTTTGCGTTGCATTGTGGAGAAAGTATCTATTTTTGGAAGCGAACAGCGTTTTCCCTAGGTGTTAGATAGATTTTTTTTTTAAATGGGTCGTGTCCTTTGTGAAAAAAAAACCGCCTCAGCGGCACTGAACAAATAAAAGAGGGCCCACTTTGTTTTTGGCACAACTCGAGGACTGCACGAGCCACACGAGCCAATTAGCGGAGTGACCCCTGGGTAAACAGCAAACTGCCTTTCATTGCTCATTTCGTGTGCAGCTCAAGTCTGGGTGGCTTCCACCCCGCTCCCATTCACTTCAGAACCAAGGGTGCCAATTAAATCGACGAGGAATCAGACAACAACACCACCACCACCACCATCATCATCATTATCATCAGTGTTTGCTTCCTCGTGCTCGTCTTGGCGAAGATGTCCCTTTTTGAGCGAATCTTTCTCGTCATCCCAGACGGATCATCACCGCACCAAACACAAAGCACTGAACGTGCACCGACGTTGTCGTTCAGGAGAGCGGATTGATGAAACTGGCGAGGACGTCGTGCAAAAAAAAAAAAAATATATCATTTGTTTATCACGTAGGCTATCACAATTAATGAAAGATGAGACCGTCGGTTGTAATTCGATTTCACGGGTGAAATGAGCTAGCGTTGCGCGAGGGTTATACGACCTCAGGATCACGCCAGGTGTAACAGGTGTTAACATTACTCGATTTTCCCATTCTCAGTGGAGAGTGGTAGCTCGTCAGCAGGATCGTGCATAGCTGAGCGTAGATGATCACACGCTCATTGAATAAAGTAATAACTGTATACGACCCTTTGTCAATCCACTCCTGAATAGTGGACTGACAAAGGGTCAATCATGGGGGATGTTTGACCATACTTCGCCGCTGTGATCGGGAATCAAACTCAGGTTTCCGGTTTCAAAGTGCGGTACGCCAACCGCTATGCCACCACTCCGTAAATGTACTGCTGCTTCCTTGGTTTACTTTGTTGAATCTTTCTTTAAAGATATAATTTTAAACGTATCTTTAGAAATAGATGCACGATCTATAGGTTGATTCTATAAGTCGTCTTTAACTAACCGTTTCGTTTTCATGCGAATGTTCAGGGTATAAAAGAGAAACCATGGCTACAGACGTCTGAGCCACCCTACAAGATGATATAATCGGACATTTCAACTTTGCTTTTCATGTGCATGATTAGCATGCCACTGCGACAGTGAAAACAAGCATCATTGCGTAATTCGATTGTCAAGGAAGAGAATTCTAGCTAGGCATTTTTTTTATTGCGCATTGACTGCCACGGTTTTGGTCTCATCTATTCCGGGTCTCTATTCCAACTTGGGCACCGCATATTTTTCTGGGCACCCATACTTATTTTGGTGAGATCACGCCAAAGAATGAGCAAAATGATCCAGTCACATTACCTCTTGCATGTGTGTGATCCACATTTTGTAGCAGCCTATCTTTGGCCTTCAAGTGGGCAAGGAATCCAAAACTCAGTTTACCCCACCAACATTTTTGATAGCTCCTCCGATGTGTTTTCTGGTTGTACCACCTTCTTTTTTTCGTGTTCTGCGTGCCGTCCGGAACTTCTTCAGTGAGGACGTTTGCCCTGCAGAGCGATGCACCAGCAGCTTGTTCAAGATCACGTTTTGGGTCCTTGAAGAGGCTCCCAGCACGTGAAGCCAATTGTTGGACGTTTGGCGTCCAACAGCATGCGGTGCAACCCGAAATAAAGCACACATCAGGATACAGAGCACAAAGGCGGAGACCCACATCGTAACATTTTATATTTGCACCGGGGAGGAATTGTATGGATGCCAAAAAATGTGCATACAAGCCGTGCGTATAATGAGAGTCTTTGTTTCATTTGCCTTAATCGTGATTTGTAGGACTTTGCCTAGAAGCCCGATGAATCTATCAAACCGCTGTACCACAGCGCTGGGTTTCTATTGGTTTTCTTTGGTGATTCATGCAGACCTTGTGCATTCCCCTGTTGTTTGCATGGTAATCAAAGGGGTTGAAAGAATTGGGCTGCAGAATCAATTGAAAGGAAAAAAAAAACCGTAGCCTTTTAATTTACGGCAAATTTAGCAGATCTCTGCATGGGTGGCCGGATCACCAATTATCCCTGGTGGAATAGCTCTTAGACTTCGGCAGACATTAGTCTGACCATTTACTTTAGTTAATTTTGGCAAATGTGTGTGTGCGCTTAAATGCACGCTCTTTTCCAAGATGTTTTCTTTCATTCTAAATGCCTAGGAAAATATGAAATGGCAACTACACACCAGTGAGCGTTTGCCCATATTGACGAAGTATGTTCAGGCAATCTCCATGGCCGACGTGGGTATCGGGAGGCCTTCATCCAGGAGTGGATTGGCAAAGGGCTGTAAAGAAGAGGCATTTGTACGACACATTTACAGCTTCGAGTTAGTGAATATAAATGTTCACGGTGCAGCTTGTAAATATTGCGTGGAGGATTTAAGATTCTTAAAATAACACGCACGCGTGTCATCGATGAGTTTAATTTTAAAATTTACTCATTGATAAGTTCATTAATTACCCTTGAACTGAAACGAATCTTTTTTCGTCTAGGCAATAATTGCATACGTTAAAAAAATAATGTATTGCAATTATTGACAATAAACTTATAGGTAAAGAAAATGTAAATAATTACCATTAAAATAAAACACAACTCCTGATAGTTGAATTAGATAGATGAAAAAAACTTATGGGTTCGAAAGTTCACTTACATTCAAGTAGATGCTACAGTCAACGTATGTTGATTTATTTATAAAAAGGAAAATATAAGACTGTGATATTGTATATAGCATGACAAATAACATACTCGGAGCTTTCAATGCAACTGGGATTATGAGCCTTAATTGCATCGGGAATTTAGAAATCCACGGAGGAAATTTATCATTTGGTGATACTGCGTTGGCTGTGGTGCACAAGCAAAAATAATATGTATAAAAAATCAACACAAGTCAAGTTTTAAAAGGAAAAAACATAAAAAGGCGACGTTTTAGGGTGATTTATATAATATTGTGCGTAACGTTTCTGGGTGTGTGTGTGTGCTCGCTAACAGCAATTGCCCCTACAGTCTGTTAAGGCTATACGGGGGATCTTTGTCTTTGGTATGGAAAAGTCCCAGGTGTGCCGTGGTATTTTGGAATCGATTAACACACACGCGCACGATGAAAAAAATAATGACCAAACACGTAGACACACAGACGTCAACGCAAAGCAATTAAACAGACAAACGCAGAAGTCGAAATTAACACAGAAGACATGGAACTCCAAATAAAACCGAACAATTACCAAGTGAAACACACAGATACGCACGCACTGGCACATAAAACATACAACTCCTCCCTAACCACCCCATTACCCCCCACCCCCCAGGGTGAGTGATTAAACCCGAGCCTCACGCGTCTGCGGTATTGAGTCGGCGAAAAGATGCCGGGGGGAGGTGCGGGGTGATGAATGAGGGCAGCGCAACACACGCCCTTCGTGGAAATTCCACATTTCCAACTTCGTCCATTGCTACGTAATCACTTGCAAGAGAGACGCGCGCGCGCGCACAGATCTTCATCAGCCACGATCAATACACTGTTGGATGAAGGAGCCATAGTGATTTTGTTAGGAGGGGGGGGGGGGAGTTTCGGCGTGCTGCGAAGATCGAGACAACTCGAGACAACTCGATCTTCGCAGGGCTGAACGATTAATCGATTTCAAATCGAAATCGCAATTTGAAACAATGAGATTAGCAAATCGCAAAGGCTGCGATTTTTTAGCGATTTGAAAAGTCCTATTACTTATTGGAATTGTTGTATTATTTATTATTACAGCTTTATCTATTTAACTTAATTGTTCTATGTTGGATTGTTCTATTTCAATTAAAACATTTTAATTAGAGCAGTTTATATGTTAATGGTATCATGTGGTCATGCTCCATCACATGTTTAAAATCTATTACACAGTGAATATTGATTGAACTGAAGCTTGACTTTAATTTTTTTTTATCGCAAATCAAATCGCATTCGCAATATCTGTCAGAAAAAATCACAACTAGACACTTTCCCCAAATCGTTCAGCCGGAGGTTGTGTGGTGCCTTGGAATGGCAGCGGCTGAGAAGCAGTGAGCTTGGAAGCAGGTGCCTCCTTGTGCCTGCGTTCGGCAATTGCAGTGCGTGTGAACCACGTGCCAGAAACAGTCAACGCAGCGGGTTTTCAAGACATGACAAGCTGCCAAAAACGATTGTAAACTATGCGCAGTTTAAATATTGCTCTGACCTTATGGCCCTTGGCTTCATGCGCTGGTGGTTCGCAAGATGAAGCCATTAGCTCAGTGAGATGTGAGAGAAAGTTATCGGCACTCGCGTGCGTTTTCCACTTCTAATTTTTGTTGTTGTTAAAATCACGCATGAGTACAGACCCGAAGAGCAAAAACACGAAGCGGCCAGTAACAAACAGCACCGCCGAAGTTGTAATCGATAGGAGTTGTGTATGTTTCCTAGATTTAACAAGGCTGGAAGAGCTTGAGGGGAAAACAAAAGAGACAACGGTGAGGAATTCCAAAGTTTACGCAGTGCGAGGACAGGGCCACAAAGGGAAGCGGTTTGTAGTGTAACGCGGTAGAACGCGGTGTGGCGGAGGAGACCAAACTGTTTTCCCTGGTGGCCAAGTCCTCAATATTGGTGGAGAACTCAACGAGTCCACGAGGGTCACGAGAACGGTTAAGTCCCCCGTATAACTCTGTTCAAATACGCCACTGCGCTACCTCTTGTTCTGTGCCTTCAGGAGTAAAGGCCCCTTCCAGCGACGTCATCAACGCAGTGATCGCAGGGCCCCGAGGACCGCCAGGCCCACCCGGGCCACCTGGGTCCCCAGGTGACTGATGACTGAAAATTAAATGGTATATATATTATGTATCTATGTGTTCATAATCACATCATTATGAACACTAATATGGACATATATGTATGAATATAAATGTATGAACATCGTAATGATTTTTTGGGGTTAGATAGCGGTAATGCAAATGTGTCGTAAATCCACCTCCACCCGATATAACCCCCAAGAAACCCTCTTTATATTCTTTACTACGACGTTTTGATCACAACACAAGCGGTCGTCACCCTGATGACGATTACTATCTATGTGACTTTACCGAAAGACCCAAAGAATAATAATTCCTGCAGTCACGAAAGCTTTAAGTCAAGATTAAACCCCCTTTTTGATGAATAATATTGATCGTGAAAGCCTTCGTGTTCAATCATACGTTATATATACTGCATATGAAGCCTTCAAAAGCGTGCGATGAGAAATCAACATTGAGTCACAGAAAATGTATACGTTAATAAATAAGGCTGCACGAACCTATAAAGATTAACATTTTAATCAAAGAAATGTGTTCTTTTTCGAGGCAAATTAAGATTAAAAACCCATAATTTATTCAACCGTTACATTAAATTATTTTATGCATGAAGGTGTATGGCCGTCTGGATTTACATGGTTAAGCGTGGAGTTCTTAATCCTTTGGTTTTATAAATTCACGGACCGCTATTTACTTTTTAAATGTCTCCCCCGACACTCCCCACTTTCTGACAGGCCAGCAGGGCCTTGCCGGGCCAATGGGGCCACATGGCCCTGCAGGGAAAGACGTGAGTATCTTTTACAAGTACCGTCGGCCGGTACACTATATATCTGGAGCTCTCGCGAAAAAAATATTGATGATCTGTATAGCTACCCTATGACCTTATCATATGCAGCTATACTGAAGGGTGCCACGGTGGCGAGATGTTAACTCCCTCGCCTGATATGCAGCAGGTCGTGGGTTTCATCCCGACCCTGACGCCCCTGTATATTTGGAGTTTATGTGTCTCTTTCCACGGTCGCATGGATTTTTCTCCGGGTCCTCCGGTTTTCTCCACATTTACAAACATGCTTTTAGAGTATTTGGCTGCTATAAAAAATCTCCACATGATAAGCCACTTCCTCGAGCTATCATTTGTGGCGAGATTATTTCTGAAAAAGAGCTATATAGCTCAGTGGGCCTTACCTGGTAAAATAACAATAAATATAAAAAATAGTAAGTTTAGTTATCAGCTGGGATCAGCCCGATCTTGTCAGATCTCAGAAGCTAAGCAAAACCTCCCACGACCACCACCACCACCAACAGAGGCCCTCATCCAGTTGCGGATAGAAATAAAAGTGCCGTACGTGTGCACGCATGTAGCCGAACGGCCAATGAAGTGACGCTCACAATGAAAAGCGATAAGAACGTACACTTTGTGTTTCGCCTCGTCCAGGGTTCCGATGGAGCCGTGGGACCACCAGGGCAAGAGGGATTGAAAGGAGAAAAAGGCGACAGGGTACGATAACACGCAAAGTTACGCTCCGTGAAACCGGCTCCACACCTGAGCCGAAAGTTGCAGCGACCATAAAAACCGCTACTCAAGATTGCGCTACGCGGTCATCGCTGGCGGCTACTTTGTCCACATCTGAGCGCTTCGAATTGCGCGACAAGAAAGTGCAGAGTGTAACCGGGATTGTAACGACCAATCGCAGTTCAGGAGTGCGCGACGTGGTGAACCACTTCGCTTGCGAATGAGCGAGTCGATCGCTGGAAAACAGCCTGTCTTCTGCGGTAAGAAACCTGCCTTGCAACTGCTCGCAAGCAGTTGCAGGGACGTCCAAATGTACGGGCGATCCAGTTGCATGCAACCAAGTTGCGGCAACTGATCGCTCAGGTGTGGATGACGTTTGCCGTTGTCTTCAACTTGTTCGTCACCCAACAAATGCAGTGGTTTTGTTTGCAGGCTGGATAACCGCTGCCAGATATAACGTGTGACATGCAGGACGGTAAAAAAAAAGATTGTTCTTTGGATAATCGCATTCTGTTTTTTTCTTCAGAGAAGTGCAAAAGGGTCCGTAGACGATCGTGGCATTTTAAAATGTTCTGCAAAAAAAAAAACCCCGTATATATTAAAAACATACAACACCTTTAATTTCATCGCACTAGTCAGGGGATTTTGCAGGTGAAAGGTTACGCTATCTGCCGCGTGTTTATCCCGCAGGGCGAGCGCGGTTGGCCCGGGGAGTCTGGCATGAGAGGCACGCACGTGAGTCGCCACGCGTATCTTTCCGCGCGACCAGTCAATTAGCAACATCCCGCGGTCAAGGCAGCTCAGCCATACCAATGTGCCGCTCACATTACCGATATATCGACTTGAAGGTTCGGTCCCCCAGCCCACCCCCCCCCCCCCCCCCCCCCCCCCACCACGATTTTCACTCATTTGTTCATGACATTGCCAGGGACTGCAAAGCTGTAATGCTGAAAATGGCCTTCGTAAATGCGATGACGATGCTCGCGATCAATGAGAATACTGCGGTGGATTGTTTTCTTTGTTTGTTTGTTAAAGATCATTGCCGTCATTTGCCTGTTTCAGGGAGAAAAAGGAAACAAGGGTGATATTGGAGAGAAGGGTCCTCCGGTAAGACACGCACACATTCGTATGCATGTTGAACTTCGTTCGCACCGTACGTAGCCAACCGTGCTAATTTTAACATTGCTTAATGCGTCTTAGAACAAGGCAGCTGGGCAGTGTGCCTTGCAAGGTTTCTCCCACTGCTCTAGAGATCTTTGATGAGTTGCTTTAATTCGGCGAAGTAAGAGGGAGAGTGTCCAAGACCGCTTTGGGTTCATTGTGCAGTGTGCCAATGACTGTGCTGGCCTAATACAGTGTGGGTGATTAAATCATTGGAAATTATCACACAGACGTAACGGGTTATTATACGCCAATGATGGAGCCACGTGGCACACTCAAAGAGTTTAATGGAGAACCTCCATCTGGTAGGCTTTCGTGAGCCGAATTAACCAGATGTTCACACAACAAATATGAAAACAATTGACAAATTACCTTTCCACTGGCACTGTGTTGGGATCCAGAATAGCTTTGCAGCCTGCTGGAGGCTTAGTACATGCTAGGTTGATGAAATCCATCCACTCTGGTGATGAGATTCACTTGAGAATGATTTATCCTATCAATTTTATAAGGGATCCGTTTGACAAGAAAAGGAACAAAAAGAAATCCGCGGGGGGAAGGCTTACACGCCGCTGCAACATTGCAATTCCAACAGCGAACGCATTCAGTTAATCAGCGGAGCAGCAAATTGAAAATGCAAATGGACAAACAAAAAAGAAACGTGTTTTTTTTGCGATTGTCAATAAGGGTTACCGTGATGTGTGGCGTGCAGGGAGATGGAATCCAACAACTACGAGAGGCCCTCAAGATTCTGGCCGAGAGGGTGCTAATCCTGGAGCACATGCTGGGACTGCACGGTGTGTAACGTTGCCCTGACCGACGTTCACTCGCATCCGAAACGCAAACAGTTGCAATCAAGCACTGCATCGTCACATCGCCGAGTACATCGTAAAATATTTTCCATACCGACAAAAACACACAAAGACTGCATATAGTGCACACAGCTTTACATCAGAGTGCAGCGACACGTTAAATACGCAAATACAATGACAATAGTTTAAAGCGATTTGAAGCATGTTTTCTTTTTTTGGGGGGGGGGGGGGCAGAGCTTTGTGACGTCATATTTGAGGGGGGGTCTAACTTCTTGTGACGCCGTGTGACTAGGGGGGGGAGGGGGGTCACAAATCGTCCAAAATCGCATGACGTCATTTATGGACAGACCCTTAGGTGCCTTATTCTTGGTGTATTTCAAGCGCACGTGTGTTTGTTTTAACATTATACAATTTCTTCCAGATGTTACAATTACAAATATCAATCTGAAGTCTCTCTTAAAAGCCATCTGGCTTTTGCATACACATTGCTAGCCACTGCCCTTAGAGAACCGTGTAATTATAGATGGATGTATTAAAGGCGAACAATAGGCTGCATGTGTACACGTTAACACTTAATAGAGTTTCGTTTATACAAAAAAAAATCTGTTACGTGAAATGCAAGCAATGCCTCAGCTGTAGGTAGTGGTTAAACTCAAATTACACATGTTATAACCATGAACTCCTTCTCAGAGTGGTAATATAATAATTATTCTATTGAAAGACTTTGCATTGAAAACAGGTTACATTTGCATAAAGTACATTGGGCCCTTATAGAACATCACGATAAATACAAAATGATGTTCACATTGACTCCAGGCACACGGTCGCACGTGAATGTACATCGAAACATACACAACCACATGGATCCACCCTGATAGCATTTAACAGACTGATAGCAAGCACTTTTGAAGGCCAGCACACCATGTCAGGTGATAATAATAATAATGTATAAGACACCTTCCACTTGGAATTATTGGAGGCTGAGTCTACCGTGTGTGTTATGTCACACACACACACACGATCGCACACACGCACACAACTACACAGGTGGCTACACATACACACACAAGATCATACATACATGGCTGTGCCCACAACCACGCATGTACACAATTGTTTTTGCGTTGATTTGTATTTGCTCCATTGGTGACCAATGTCATATTTTGCAAACGAGACTAATCCAGGTCTCTTGAATTTTCTCTTGGTTAAACAAAATAAACTTCATGTCTTTATGTCCTTAACAGTCTTTACAAGAGTTATCATGCCCACTCGTTAGCCGCACGGAGCGGGATAATGCATTGACAATTTCAACATCAGTTGACAAGCGTTTACATAATTCCTTTGAACTTTTTGTTTTGTTTTTGGCCTATAACATGCACTCAAATTGTAACGTGAATAGGCATTTCCTTCTTGCCTGCGTCACTAATACATGTGCTCAACAGGGCAATTGTTGGCATCGGCTCACCGCGTGGCTGACTTCCTGCTTGTCTGTGGTTCCTTGTGCTTCCGAGTCATTCTCTCTCTCTCTCTCTGTGGGAGGCACAAATTAGCTGCGCGGCGCACTGTTACAAATGCAAGTTATGATGTGAATCGCGTTTTTGTTCGTATCTGCACAAAATTTGTTTTAATCCTCTCGTCGTCAGACTCACTCACGTCTTCGGAGTCTGGGTCCGGGGAGGATTTCCCGACTCCACCTCCTCCGTCGGCGGCGCTGAGTAAAATCCGGCGTGGAATCACGCCCGCTCGACTGCGCCTTCTCCAAACCCTGCCGACACAACAACGCAGAGCTGGAGGGAACGAGTAAAGAAAAACAAAAATCATCGTCAAATAAGTTAACAATTCAAGACCACGAAATGAGTCCACTACTTCAGTGTTGTTTTTTTTTATTTTCTCACAAACACCAATTATAACTTGTTTTTTTTTTTTTAAAAAGACGTAACATTCTTCGTCAGGTTTTAATCATTGTTGCGTAAGTTGCGTGGCACCACACAAACAGGGACATTGTTCACGTGTACATTTCTATTTCTGGGAGAAGTCAAATGAAAAAAAAAGCAAACAAAAGGGAGATGATGTTAATTGCTTTCGATGTTTTTGGTATTGATATTTCACTTTTTTGTGGTCTAGTACAGTGGTTTCTATATCTATTGAAAGTGCAATCCATAACCATGTTTTGCAGGTTGCAGCACAAAGTTTTGGAGCCACTATTGATGCAGTGTTTAGATCTACTTATTGTAAATGTAGCATGCCTATCGGACTTTCAAACGAAGATGTTCATCCTCAGATCCGTATTTTTGAAAACGCTCCTGAATGCTCATACGAAAGTGAGTCGTTCCCTTATTGTGCGTTCCGCCCGTCTGTGCAAACACACATATATCACAAGGTGCATCGATGTGTAAAATACGTAGCTGAGGCACAGCAAGTTCATTGTGAACGGCGTGCCAAAATATGAGCCACGCGGGGCCGACCACGGCGTCGAGAGTGCCAAGGTGTCCCCGTGGAACATCAGGGTTTTTCTTTCTCGTGTGACTATGGCACGTCCGCTTCTCGCGCAAAGTCTCTTACCTCGTTTCCACCGCACAAACCGAGCCTCGGCCAGCCCGGCGCAGCTCAGCAGCCGCCGGGGTCGTTTCTCTGTTTTTTTTCTTCCCCCCCACTCCACAACCTGAGCCGTGCCGCTGACGCTGACGGCGCACGCATTGAACGTGCGGCGGTGTCGGCATCGCACGTTCAAGCGCACACCGAGTGACGTGACGTATACGTTGATTCACTCTGCCCTTGGCGCCGTTTTGACCCCGAGCCAAATACAGATGTCCTGCGAGGACAGAGTTGTAACGCTCTGTTCCCGGCTCGGCTCGGCATGTGGCCCCGTGGAAAACTGCCCGGTTAATCCACGGCCCTGCTGGGAGCCGAGTCTAGATTCAGATGTCTTGGCGTTCGGCGTATAGTTGGCATTGGCCAAGCCATCAGGCCCCATAGTGTAGAAGTGGGGACTCTGCATCAATGGTTCCCGGACGCAGACTTGGCAGCAGTGAGCATCTAGAGAGTATACCGCACTGACGAGACCTAATGAAGATAAAACCGGCCTAAAGTTGTCTCTCTCTGTCTCACTGCTGCCTGTCAATCACATTTTCTCAAATTATACTTGATGGTAACCTAAGACAAGAGGACTACAATGCAGCTCTTCGGGAACTATTGATGTGTTTTTTGCATAACGGACGAGTGCTTCCTACGCGCGGCCCTTTGCGTGCCATATGAAACGTCAGACGTCTTGCGAGGCCAGGCTATTCGTGGTCTAATTCTGGCTCGACTTGGCAAATAGCCAGTGGTGGAAAACCACCCGTGCCGTGACAGCCCCAACCCCCCCCCCCCCCCCCACCCCATGCTGGCGTGGCTCAGATGTGCCAGTGGAAAAAAAATGGTGGTTTGGTGCGAATATGCCGATGCGCGCGTCCCCACTTGGCGTCATTGGCGGTGGCGCCGGTGTTGCATCTCGGGTACAGGCGCAGCGTTGGCCGCGCTTGACTCGCACCGAGTCTCGACGAGGGACTTCCTTCTTCTTCTTCTTTCTCTTACGTTTTATTCGGCGGCTCCCAAAAAAAGTATCTACTGGAATGTGTACGTTCCAGGAGTTACAATACTGCAACTTGCCAAGAGGTGGAGGGAAGGGCAGGGGGAGATGGGGTTTGGGTAGGTGGAGTAAAAGTGGAGGGAGACGTGAATCTCTTTATTGCCCCTTGTGCAAACGTCGGTACTCAATTTCGCTTTCGCATTTCAAAGTTTATCTAGTCCTTTAAATTGTGCAATTTCGCTCGACGCACACGGGCGGTGTGTACGCGCCTAATGCTGGGGCGTTTGCATCGATGCGTCCGGTTTGCATTGATTCCCGCTCGGGCGGTTTCAGTCTCGGCGGGCAGTTTCCCGGCGGTGGCAATACAACCGTTGTCGTTTTGGACCGCTCCTTTGTTCCACCTGGGCCCGTTTGGAAGCGCATGGGACGCAAAAAAGAGCACGGGACTGTGAAACGTTGCGGCGATGAAGCCCTTCCTCCGTAGGCTCCCCCACTCCCTTCCCACCTCTGCTCTCATGGCTTGTCATCGTTGGTGCGAGTGTAGACTTTCCAGTTATACTTGATGTAGATTACGATGTAGTAATACACTAAAGTTGGAATTATAACTGTGAGATATAAACCCTTTTTTCTGGGCCCCCCCCCACCCACCCACTACCCAGTGAATATGTTTATTCGTCTTGTTAAATTGCTTTGTATTGCACCATATTATTAAAACGTATCATACACAAGTGCCAATAATGGGTACTGATGATATTTTCTACGATGTAACAGATCAACTTCATGTTTCTACCAAAAAAAAGACCATTAGTTACACTCCGAGGCCGAGATTATTAAGTCATCAAAGTGAGCCATTTAGAGTAAAACATTAAAACTCCACATTACTGTTATTTCATCCAAATAAGCCTGAAAGGTCCTATGAAATTATTTAAAGCTTTGTCCATCATTTTCTTTATACTTTTTTCCCACTTTATTTTATTAACTCACAATTACTGTGGTCATATAATACGAGAAATAAATTAGTTGGCAATGCTTTCAGAACATTATTGTACTGTACTATATATAAATAAATTCACCAAGTGTCATTTGCATTGCTGGCCAACACACCTTGCTTCAAATCTTGTGCGTTGATGATGTTCAGATTAAATGAGAACAATTTCAAACGGCCGTCTGACAACCGACAGTCTTAACCTGCGGTCAAAATACAACAGGACAATTGCGAAATGTTGTTTCATTGCCATACTTCTGGACAATGTGTTTTAATTTGCCAGCCGAACCGTCCGTATGATTGAGACCAATACAACAGTCTAACTTGTGCGCCCGATAATGGAGAACATCAGTAGGTGCTCGAATATCTCGAGTTATAAACGGAAACAGTCTTGGCGTTTAACAAATGGTGCTAACTCATCGTGGTAATGTCGACTTGCATTACCTAGAACGTGATTCTTCAACTATATTTACCGGCAGGCCACATTAACAACGCCTGCCGTGTATTGACAGGCCACGTTTGCGTCGCTTGTCGCTGATTTGATCTTATCTCTCAGTGGGCCACTCCCAAGAAGAGCATCCTTTGCCGGGCCGCATCTGGCCCCGCGGGCCTCTTAGTCGAGAAGGACCGTTGGCCTGTAACAGAGCAATGGAATATCGGGCAAATGTGTTGCTCACAACAAACTGTTGTCCAAAATCGGTGGCACGTTGAGTGTGCTTTTACACGTATAAGAAAGAACGCACTGAGATGTATCATGGTGCTTTCAGTCCAGCCAGGAGCTGCATGAACTGCTTATACAAAAAAATGCACAAATTTACACTTTGTACATGTATTGCCATTGCTCATTTTACACTGTTTTGTTAATGTATTTTTTTTGTAACAATAAATCATTAAATCCAAAACCTTTCAAAAACAAACAGGTCATTTCATTGTCACAGTAGCGCGATCATGTTTAATTTGAGATTACAGTGTATTATTGTGCGCGTGTATATACATGTAGTAATTAGACGCTTTGTAAATCTACTGCTGGATGAAGGTCTCTCCACGTTGTCGTTGGTCATGGGGAATTGGTCGTTTGGCTATAGTTCACCATCCTGAAATGACTGCCGTGGACGGCAAGCAAACTCAGGCCTGCGGGTGTTCATCGCGCCCATGGCCAAACCACTCCACCCTTCTCTTGTATGCCAGGATATGGAATTAACATCTCGCCACCAGGCCCCATGGTGTAAAGTTAATCTCCAGCTCTTACAATAAAATCAATCTCTCTGACCTATTTACATGTGCTGTGAAAAAGGGCCATTGCCCAAAACTCTGCCTATCATACGTATATATTTTTTTAAGGTCACGGTGTTATTAGTGAACGTGTTGAATTGTTATGGGTCACTGCCAACGCATCAACATTACCAAATCATGCGTTGCTGTAATCCCTACTATAATCATTCAGGAATGTCTGTCCTTAACGCTCGTGACGTCACTCCACATCGAACAGCCCCCCACATTAATAAGCATAAGATGACGTCCTCCAAATGGACACCCCCTCTATTCATAATAATTAGCGGGTGACGTCACTCCACATGGGGGGGGGGCGCCTCCTCCCCCCTCCTCGGCGTCAACTGACAACCCTCACTACAAAGGCAGAACCCTCACGTCACGTGATCTCCGTGACGCTATTGTTGAAACATCAAAGTAAAAACGACGTCGTGATGAACAAGGGATTATAACCTTTAAAGGGCATAGGTCCGTGTTACCGCGCCCTTACAAATTGCACACGAATTAATGCTGTGAATATCACGTCGTGGCCTGTGCTTTTCGCTTGCAAGTTTCAGATTTACTGCAATGCAACCCGTCCTTGGACGGGCAAAAAGGCTAGTGGCCATATAAATACGCAGACGATGTCTCCTTCATGTATCCTTCACACACACCCCCGCCACCCACGTAAACAAACATCTAATTGTTTCTTTCACAACCTATCAGCCGGACGGACACACCCCCACCCACCCCCCTGGGAGTGCATCCCTTCAACAGCATTGTTTCAAGACGAGCAAAACTCTGGATCGTTGACAAAATAAACACGTCTCGCCCAGCAGCCAGGCTTTGCTTGAATAATAATAATGCATTTTATTTATACAAGCGTTTTTCCCTCGCTCAAAGCACTGCACAGTAAAAAGAAAAAAAACGTATTAAATATTACACATACAAACCCCCCCCCCCCCCGACTATTACATGAATCAATAAGGATGCTGAACTGTCGAACTCAAAGGGTAAAAAGGGGGTCCCCCACCTCCTTCTCCCCTCTCCTTTCCAGGGCAAAGTGAGGGAGAGACCCCTGGGGGCCGCGGCGGTGGCTTCGCTTTGCGAGAACGTTGCTCGCCAGCACCAGGTGGCGCTACACAACCACGCAAAATGCCACCGTCCCTCTGCTTGTTTCAGTTGTTCTCTTGTTGCGTGAACACCCATGAGAGACGGCGCCCGCCAAAGTGAAATCTACTGTAAGGACAACAACGTTCAA